CCTACAATGACAACATGGTGATTAGAGGTAATTGTATTTCATTCGAATGCCAATAATACAATACAGCTCATTTGATCGTTGTAAAAGAAGTCTTAGGAACTGGAAAAATGTGTCCTATTCTTGATTTCACTCAAGGCTAACTATGTTTGGTTGGAAGAAATGTTTAAACTAAAAACAAAAAGATGCAAAAAAAAATAGTTGAGCAAGCAATTTAGCAATGAATAACCAGGTAAGACAAATGCAACTGAAAGACATTATTGACTATAGTAATAAACGTAAGTAACCAACCTGCAAAACTGAGGTGTTCCCCAGTAAAAATGGAACCCATAGCCTCCAAGTGGCTGGAAGTGTCCGGCTGACCTGTCGATGAATGGTCGACCAGATGCGAGCCATTTTTCGCTTTAACCTGTCGTTCAGCGCAGCTGTCTATTTCAAAATCAGTGGAGTTCTCACTTTTGGAAGATGATTGAACTGGTACATTCTTCAAGTGTCCATCAGTCCATCCCAACTCCACATCATCTGTTGATTCGAATTCTACTCCTCTTTCCAGTTTTCCTGATGTATTTGCATTATCTTTCCTCACTTTAGCCTTTTCTCCACCTACTTCGTCATGTCCCTCTCGATATTGTCCTGCCAGAACCCGTTCTTGCTGTTCAGTCTTGTCAGCCGGGATCACAGCCACATTAGCACCTCCTGTAGACCGAACAGCCTTTGATCGTTTCGCCTCGCCCGAGCGTTCATCATCATTGCTCATGTCGTCATCATCTTCATCGTCTCTGTCATGGTGGGAGTCAATATCTTGCTGGAAGTAAGCAGTATCAGTTTCGGAAGTTAGGCGCGGCTGGAAAGGGGCGGCGCAGGCTCGCAGATCTGACCAAGTCCAGGTGAGCAAATAGTCATCAGACTCGTTAAAGTTCGATTCCAGCTCTGAAAGAGGAAATTGAAGTAAAAATATGATGTTGTGTAAATGTGTGAATGGATCGAGTGTTCATAACTCGAAGAAGATTAATAAAGTTGTGAAAAATGTATAGTGACTTAGCCACAGTGCTATTCATCACACCATTATAATATTTTGATGCATATATGGAATTATTCATTAACTCTATACTCTTTACGATCAGGATGTCGTCAGTCTACAGAACATGAGGCCTTTGCAGATAAAAGTGTAAGCAAAGACAGCAAGCAAGATCAAATTTATCGAAGCTTGTGCCTGGGTTTAGAGGTCCCAGATCCATTATATGATCGGCTATCTTTGATATCTTCAAGACCCACTGGATCTCGGCCGGATTGGTCGCATCTATAGATGCCTGAGAAAAGATTATAAATGTGGTAATGGACAGACTGGTTATCTTAGTCTATGCAGCTGGAGCGAGTGTTTTCCATCACCAAAATCTCATCTTTCCAGACATACATCCGTCCTCTGTTGTCTAGACTAAGATGTGAATTCAATGTAAGAATGCTTGACTTATTCAAAGCAGTCTGGACCTCGTCTGGCTTCTAGAAAATGGAAAGCAATAGGAATGATTACATTGAAAATGTGGTGTAAGTCGATCAGCAGCACTACTTCGTTGTTCTCAATCAGAACAATTTAGTTATTTCAATCTTGAAATTGGCTCTGAATACACTGGAGCTAGGAAGACCGAGGTTTGTACTGCACCAATTGAATAGATGAAGCTGTTCTTCACAAGAGCCCAGCAAATTAAAGTTGGTTTATTATCAAATAAGATATGTTGTTTAAAAGAGTTTGGCTAAAATATCCAGTAGTTAACTGCTCTTACTACTGATAAGTATCAGAGCTCAGTCCACCTATGTCAACTAGGGCGATTAATAATTAGTGAAGTAACTAGCCATTAGTAATAGGGAAGTCTATCCCGCAAAGTTATGAATAGACTGCACGATGTCAAATAATTTAAATTGCATTATTTTGCACAAAACAGAGTTCGATTAAAAAATGAGTTATGAAACAATGGTGAATGAATAAACGAATGGATGAAGAATCAAATCAAAGCTACTCGTAAGTGAATAAAAAGCTATAAAATATGTTTGGAAGCATAACAGCAATATAGTACAAGCTCATATTTTCTTCTAAATAGTAACTGGATTTCGATTAATCTCCTAACTATTATAGATACGAAGAGACAGTTGGTTTCGATAAATCTCCTGAGATAACATTTCGAATGAAAGTGCATGAAGAAGAGATTCGTTAGTCGATCTCACCAGATGAGGACGAATGAAACTCGTTGTACGA